TCTTTTCCAAAGGGGATCTGTAGGTTCCTTTGCCCGCTCTGGTGGCTCATCTTCCCCCCCCCTCCCCCCCCCCAGCTGCAGCCATTTCCTAGCGATCTCCAGTTTTATATATATATATATATATATTCTCCTTAATTTTTAATTTATGTTTTCAGCTAGTGATAACATACATTACTTCTATTCCTTTCACTGACTACTGTAAATAATTGTTGGACAGCCTCTCCCTAATCCTCCACCCCTAGCCTGTTAAATAGTTCTTTGTCAAGAGTTTAAATTCAGTGCAAAGAGGTAAGGTTTGCTTGGTTTAAGATGTAGTTTAGTGAAGTAAGTTCCTCCTGGAAATACGTGGGGAATTCCGCTTTCTTCAGATTTGAATTCTACATCTGGAGTAAATGGGAGACCAATAAATCACTTAACTTTTTGTAATAATCTTTAAAGGTAGCCATTGGGTCTCTGAGCTTACCCAGGTTGCAGTCTGTTTATGATTGCTGCTGTTACTGCCTGGGTCTATACTTGAGTCCTTTAAGTTTATTTTAGGCCGCTATTAATTTATTCTAAGTCAGCCAAATCAACAAGAAGGTAAATACCTACCAACACAGAGTCTTTTTCAAAAGTTAAGTAGTTTTTGGTAAAACCCCGAACCTTATTAATCTTTTGCAGATGACAACTCCTATATTGCTGATGATTAAAGATACCCATGTGTTACAATAGGGTTTCAGACTCACAGCCCATCTCTCTTTTTCTTGATCTTTCAGTAAAATCATAATGCTAAACTGGTGACTTCACAATCATTTCCTTGGCAAAAGATTAATATCACAAGCTCAGAGAAAAAGAGCCCTACTTCCCACAAGTGTCTTCAATAACAGTGGGAGAAAACAGAATACTACTGGCAAAGTAAATTGCTTTTCTTCTTGAAACTGTTTTCTTTTTCCCATCGTGCCCCATGTGCCCAAGTGTAAAAGCCCTGCTTTGAAAGTGCTTCATGTTGTAGATCAAACACTTATGAGAAAATGACAATAATAAAGCCCAAACATCCTAGGAACAGCCAGGAGAAAACCCTTTAGGACAGTAGGAAATACATCAGTGGAGAAATATGTAACTGGGTTGAATACACTGTTTGTGCTCCCTGTGCACACAGCTGAGAATTGCAGTCAGATTTTAAGGAATTATGTTAGATTTGATGCTCAATCACTTTTTAAAGCAAGGATGGGGGGCCTGAGGGTGGTGTGGGGTAGGAGGGTGGCTGAGATCCTTTCCTTTAGTTTTCTGCAGGCTGTTTAGTTGCCAGCTTTTCTGAATCGAAGGCTTAGGTGATAAAGGATTCCTGGGAGAATTTAAAGTTGTATGTTTAACAATTTTCTCTCACTTCCTCAGAATGAGGAGTAGAAATAGTCAAGTTTGTATTCCTTGTAAAGAAATCACCATTGGAAACTACTCTCAAAATGCCCACTATCCTGAAATAAATCATTAGCAGCAGCTTTCAGAGATTTCTTCACCGGGCACCCAGTTTGTTTCAGTTATAACCAGGTGTGCTGGGAGAGCCCGACACATTGGCAGTTGGCTGGGCCAGGGAGGCAGAGCTTGCAGGCGGCTAAAGAAACAATGCATCACTGACAACTTCCATTCATCATCCCAGACTCCGGCCAGGACTAGAGGCTGAAAAGAATGGGCTCCATGTGGTTCCCCTAAGGGAGGAGCCCTCAGGTCTTGTGCATTTTGAAAAGAAATAGGTAATAGTCTTCTGTGGGAGTCTAGGCACACCTAGGAGGAAGCATGAATGTCCTGGGGTGCCTAATCTCCTCAGACAGATGGCCTTGCAGCTTTGCAGGCAGTGGTGTGGACATGGGTTAGTGGCACAGATAGAAATGGACACGTTCCCATGTTTTGAAATTTTGCTCCCCCACAACTCCCAGAAGTCTAAGCCTGGTGTGACTCGCACTTTGTGAAACCATAAATGAAGCCATCACCATTATTTTTAAGGGACTCACACCTTTTCTGAGTATTACACTACTCTCTTCCCTAACCCATACATTTGTCTGCAAATAATTTTGCTCACTTTTTTGTAACTATGATTTCTTTTTTCTTACCTTTCTCTCTTTTTTAAAAAATCTCATTTAGGGACACATCTAAAATTGGTATTTTTCTTTCTGTTAAACCAGAAGACTGGTTCCAGATTAGGAGATGAAATGCCATTTCAGTTGTGCAGATTAAATTACCATCATGTGGACTTTTAGAAAATGATCTGGGAAATAAATAAAGATCATATAACCTACTTCTATTGCTTTAAGTATACCCTTACTGTGCTTTATTTTTGGACTAATTTAAATGTAATGGTTTTCTAAATGTGCTCGAGATGATTGCTAAAGTCAATATTATTAATTTTGCTAAGATAGTTGTATTCAGTCAATAAATGCATGCACACGCATGAACCCTATCAAAGGTTTTTATGTGAAAACTCCTCTCAGATACCAGTGATCAAAGTGACAGAGCCTCCTGTGAGACCCATAATTCTGTGCACGCTGGTCACCGAGAGTGCTAGTCCTTCTTGGCCTGCGCCCTGGCTGTTCTGGCAGGCAGAAATGGGTGTTTTCCTGCACCCACTGGAGAAGCATGTGCATTTTTACTGGTGCATCTTAGCTGCTGATGTCTGAAAATTTGGCCTCAATTGTTTATAGGAAAGAAAAGCAATCTGAGCTGTCAGACTTGATATTACCTAAACCTGCATAGAGTATGGTAAAATAATGCAGGATTTGCTTTTTAGGCCTGTTTCATATTTTCCAGGCGATAGATCAGATCAGTTCAGGGTTCATTTTTAGTTCTTTAATAAGCTGACACAGTATGCTGGCAGTAAAATAAGAATGCACTTTTAACATGGACGTGCCATATTCTCAAAGTTGCTATTTGTGCTATTTATTAATAACCAGGGAACCCTTGAGAATTGAGTTGAGCACTTTTGATGAGGAAACAGCTTTTCATTATTTCCATGGTAATGAACAACTCCCTCATTTCTGTCTCATTGCCAGTTGGTATCTTAGCCTCTATCCCTTGTCAATTCAAGTCCTTCTCTGGGACTTCTGTTTTATACACTGAACAAGCACAGGAAGAAAAATGAATAAATCATCTATATGCCTTTTTTCTTATGTTCTTATCTAAATCTTGATTCTTCTCTCTTCAATATGCTCTCCACCAGATAACCACTTCTTTGGGTTCTTATTCAAAAGTCACTCTGGGAAGTCCTCTTCTGACCATCTAAAATGTCAACCCCTGTCCTTGACACTTTATATCACCTTTTATCTCCTCTCCCCTCTTTAACACTGATTTCTACCTACCATGTTTTATAGTTCACTTACTTTCTTGTTATGGTCTCTCTCTCCCACTGGACTCTAAGCGCAGTGAGGTCAGAGACCATTGCCCGTATGTCCAGACTCTAGGGCAGTGTCTGGTGTGTAGCAGGCACTCCATAAATAATTGTTCAACGAATGAATGGAAGTCATTTACCCCAGGTCTTGGTTTTCTTGCTGCGTGATGAGTCATGTATTTTCAGTCTGATTGAATGTGGTGCACCAGTGTCTCCATTTCCTGCACACCGGGCAGTCCTTGCTGAGAAGGGTGGGAGACGTGTAGGAGAGACATACACCCTCACCTGGAGCCATACCCAACATTGAAGCAGTTAGTGCAGGGCTTTTTTCAGTGAGCCAGGCTTCTTGGCGAAACTCTCTCTGGGCCAGATTTCTTTAAGCACCACCATAACCAGCCATTTCTCCTGCCTCCGTTGGGATGCTAGGATTCTTCTCCTTCCCTACCATCTTATTTGGTGGCATTGATCTTTAGCTAAACTGTTTATTCTCTCTCAACATATTATTGTTCATTTGGGTAAAGAAGCCAGAATGACATTCCATTTCTTGGAAACCAGGAAAAACCATTGTGTGGGCTAGAGACATTCCATTTGCTACACTTGGTCCTGGTGGCTGTGACATAAATCTCTTGAGCCTTGCCATTGCCTTGCTGGGTTCCAGGAATATCCAGTGCTTGTCTGATGTAAAGTTTTACTGCCCATGAAAGCAAACATCACCTCCGTCATGGCCAGTTAAACAGTATCTTTTACGGTGGACTTCTGCATATCTGAAACCCATCCATCCAAAGCCAAAAGTAATGCCAGTGGGAGAGATTTTATTCTGCCATGTTTCTTACAAGGGGAGATCAGGGGTCAACTCAATTCATAAAATTACTGCAGTCATTTTTCAGCTGGCCGAGAGACTTCACAGATCAAAAAAAAATACAGTGGCTCCTAAATGATTTCTGATATGCACAATTCTAGTGTTTTTTATTCTCAGCATGTGGTGCGAAGCCTGCCAGAAACCATCTCTGCAGCTATGGACAGGCAGATTAGAAATCATCCACGATGGTTTCCATCATTTCTCTACAGGCTGGCCATCCATTTAAACTGCTTAATGTGCATTTTCTCAAAGCCTGCTTTGTACACGTGCTCCCCTTACATTCTGTTCTTCTCTTTCAGTGTGGTGCTCACCTTGGGCACATTTTTGATGACGGACCTCGTCCAACCGGCAAAAGATACTGCATCAATTCAGCTTCCCTGTCGTTCACACCTGCAGATAGCAGTGGCGGAGCAGCCGAAGGCAGCAGTGGGGTTGGTAGCCCCGCCCAGGCAGACAAAGCAGAGCTGTAGAGTAGCGGAGAGTGATGGAAACAAAGTGTACTTAATGCACAGCTTATTAAAAAAACTAAAAATCGTCTATCTTCATAGATATATATATATTTTTTTTTCAACAACTCTAATGGCAATTTTGTGCTATTGGTATTTTTTTCTTCTTTTGCTTAAACAGAGGCCTGGCCTTCCATTTATTTTGCTGTTGACTAGATCCAGAACTGTTTATAGCATTAGCAAACGGAGATAGTTTTGAGAATCTTCTTCACAAGCCACTTCTGTACCTTTTGGCATTATTTTCCTTGTGCACACAGCTTCTTTTCAGACCGCCTCTCCTTGATTACAGGGCTCAGAGCGTTTGGTCTTCAAACATGAAAATAGGGATCTCCTATGCAATATAGAGACCAGAGCTCGGAAGCGCAGGGTGTCCAGACCTGCGAGACACATGGCCTTAAGGCATTTGCACAGATTAGCCTGAGATAAGCATGGAGTGATGTCTTGCGAGACTTCTCAGCTTTGTGGAAAGTTTGAGCTAGGGTCGTTTTTTTCTCACTAAAAGGGTGTGAAGGTTTAAAGTCTTTCCTTATGTTAAATTGTTGCCAGATCTAGGGGGGTGCACTGAGTCTTGTGGCAGAGAAGTAAACATTACCTCACGGTGAAGCCTTTATTTTATTTTATTTTCCATTGGAAACATGGGAATGTAAGACAACTACCCAAGGTTGAGCCCCATTTTATCCAAAATTCACAAAGAGGAACACCTGCCCGTTGCCTTTTTATAAGTCCTTCTCTCCACACCTAATACCAGCTGCAGCTGGAAGGAGATTTCGGTAAATTCCACTGTGTGAAATAAAATATTGGGGACAACACACTTCATCAAGGCAGAAGAAATGAAAGCGTGGAGAAGACCAAGGGCGGAGGCTTGAGGACTAGAAATCCCGTTGGGCAGAACAGCTGGCGGGATCCTACAAGTGACGCAGAGAATGCGAAGACGGGCACTTCTGTGCGGAGCTTCTTGTGACTTGGGGACGGAAACAGAAACGCTAGGAGCTCGAGTTCCACACTGGTTGCTAAGCCGTTGTGTGATGGGGACAAGCCATTTAACCGCTTGGTGCCTATACCTTCATGTTATAAACTGAGACTCACAATATTTGTAAAATGTATAGACAATCTCAGGGCAAAATTACTCTATTGCTACACAGTTAAGATCAGTGTTGTAAAATTAAACTGATCTGGTTCTGATCGCCTCAGAGGCCGAACCCCAGGCATTTGAAATGGAAAGAAGCAGAGAGGAGGTTGACTTAGCTGATTGGTATGGAAACAGTTGGGCCGTAAGCCAGAACGTTTTCTTTGTAGCAATATGGCTGATTTTACTTTGAGAAGCTCTGCCCAGTTGCTTGATAGCATTTAGTCTGGTGGAATGGACGGCATTATGCACAGTAAGGATTTCGCAGGAATGAGCGATGGGGGTATAAGCTGATTTTGCGGAGTTGGGTGTGAAGGTAAGGTGTGTGACTGATATATATCGTGTTTGTAACTTTGAATACTAATCCTCAAATGTAGTTTTAACAGATATTATTTTTGTATATCTTTGAAAGCTTATGAAACCTGCAATCTTTTCTTGTAAGCACCAAGACAAAGAAGAAGTCTGACGTTTTTAAAGGAACAATGAGAAAATAAAATGAAAAGTTTTGACATATCAGAATGTCCACATTCTTTCATGTTGGCCCTGACACCCTGGTGGCCCGTCATTGTCATGTTCACTGTGACTTTGCAGTTCCAGCCGAGTCTCATTCTGCTCTGGATGCTCCAGGTTGAGGACGTCATCGAAGCTTGCTGATGCTCTTCAGCTCTGACATGCTTCATCTAGCCTGCTGAGCTCACACTGCCGTTCACAGGCTTGACGGCCCTCTAGAAATGAGGTGCAGAATCTAAGGCCTCACTTAGCCGGAAGCATCCAGACCATTCTAGAAGTCTTTTCTGACCTTACAGAAATGCCCCAACATTTCCCTGCACGTTGATGATCCCGTGTGTGGGTAGCTAAAGAAATGGGTCTTTCAGGACATGGTCGGAGCCTGCATCCTTCCTTCGGAGGTGCATATGGCACGTGGCAACCACGCCAGCTATGTGTCGTGGTCTTCTTGGAGTCTCTTGGAGATGAGTCACAGTGCTGGAGTAGACTAGGAGATAAATGAGGGGTTCTTCCCTCTCTCTAGAGACTCTAGATTGTCACCATTTCTTCACTTTTATTGTAGGATTTAACATTTCCCTGAAAAAAAAAAAACTTTTCTAATTCTTAGTCTTTGTTTCAAGGAAAGATAATTTTTCTTCTACCACATTTTCCAGCATCTACTTTAAGAAAAATGCAGTATCTCTAGATTAAAAAAAAAAAAAAAAAGTGGGTGTATGCATGTGGTTTAGTTCCGTATTGCTTTTGGGTTTAAGTGGTATCAAATTTCAGTATATTTCTGTCTTATGTTAAAGAAATATATTACTAAGACGTCAGTGGGCAATAATGTCAGCTGTCGAGCACCAGATTTATTTTTGCAGGATATGGAGTGCAATGAAGTGAGTCAATATGGCAAGGTGTATGTGATCTGTGGGAGTTATGCCATTTAACATAGGAAATGCACAGGGCTTTCCCTCTTTGCACTCCAGGTCTTACTGTATGTTAGAGGATGCAGGTTCTGCATCCTCCAGTGTGCAGAAAGCATATCTGACAAACAGAACAGATTCCAAAAAAGCAGGAGTATCTATTACCTTAGAGAACATTTCTATGTATTTAAATGTTGCACTTCTTAAATGCAATGCAAATGATGTAGCAATTTGAAAACCTCTCCATGTTAATTGTGTTTAAAATGTCTCGCTTTCATTTGAAAAATGATGAAGGGGATTATTGTATGTTCCAAAGGTCAAATATTATTTTTGCCTTAGATAGCTTTGTAATAAATTTGTCTTCAGACAATTCAAAACTTTTGAAAAACTGATACAAAACTTTAATTACTAGCCTTTTCCTATGTTTATTGTATACAGAAATGATGCAATAAAATTTCTTTATAAAAATGTTTTCTTCTCCAACTCCAAGATTCCTCTTTCTTGTTAGTACAGTTACATGGACTGCATCCTGGAGTCTGTAGACTGCCATGCACCTCATCACCCTGTGGATATGTCTGTAGTTTGTGTCGGGGACCCTTTCCCTGATGGAGCTTTTGGAAGTTGGGGCTCTAACAGTAGGCCAAGTCCCCCTCTCTGCACCCCAGGCCTCATGCAAGGTCTCCAGGGATCCCTAAGATTGGAAGAAAGGGAAACATTTGTAGAATGACTCAATCTTCACCTCATCTTAGCACAATCTTCAGCAGCTTCTTTATGTTTTTGTGCTTAAAATATGGACTTTGGGGAGTTCCACTGGGATACCTTTATGGATAAAAATGCAGGAATGATACCACACTGATGCCCATGCTTCTCTGAAAAGAATTGACAAGACATTTATACTGTTGTCCTGGGTTGGTCTTAAGGGAAATATGTGAGTTCCCCACTGCTCATAGATGAGCTGAACTTTAAAAGTTCTCTCTGCAGATGAGTTTTACCACAGTAGTATTTGTTGTTGAAATGTTTGATTTTTTGAAATTGTTTTGTTTTGTTGATTTATTTATTTAGGTGAGGGTGAGTGAGGTGATGAGTACTTTGGCTTTTCAACCAATTCTTTGAGTCATATTCTTGGAATTCTCAAATTCTCAGGTCTGCAATTTCAGGTGGTGTCTCTTAGAACAGTGCTTCTCATAGTGTGGTCCTCAGAAGGAAGCCTCAGCAACACCTGAGAAGTTGCTAGGAAAGCAAATTTTCAGGACCCATCCCAGAAGGACATAATCAGAAATTCTGGGATGGGTCTTAGCAATCTGTGTCCTAGCAAGCCCTGATATGATTGTGGTGCTTGTTCAAATTTGAGAACCACTGCCTTGGAAACATACTGAGAAAATGTCAATCTGTAATACTTTTTAAAGCATTTATGTCTGACCCTCAAAAATGACTTGTTTTGTGATTATGTCTTTGTTGCTTTTTTATAGAATGGGCCCAACAGTCAAAGTTTCATACCTGCCAGCCATGTCTGCCCGTTATTACTCACTGATATCAGCCCGAATGACTAGCTGTCCTCATGCATTAGTATCACCATCGTTTGTGTTTGCATTTCTGTGTTGAGCATGGACTGCCTGTTGGCACTTAGCAGTGCCTTTCTAGAACCAAGGGCCATCTCAGTAATTCCAGGAATTATAGAATAGATCTAACCGTGTTCATGTTCATATGACCTATCTCATCACTTCCGTTGCCTTGTACCTGTGCCTGTCATTGTCATCGTCATGGTCTTGTTTTTTTTTTTTAAAGACATTTTTACGAAGGAGTTATGTATTCAAATCTGAACTCATTTTTGACATGAAACTGCTATTGTTCTCCAGATCTGAACAATGAACTGACTTCTAGAAGATGCTGGCATACAAAAAAAGTTGGATTAAACTTCTGTCCTGGGACAACCATACTAGCACCCCACACTGTCTGCTGAACAGACTGAAATTTCACTATGTCATTGTGGAGTCTAAGAAAGACACCATGAGCCATGGAAGATATTCTGACAAGAACTCTTTGTGTCCATTCACTCTGAGGGGCTAGCCGGTCCCAGGCATGCCTGAGAGGGGTTGTTCTGAAGGCGACTGCAGGCTCTGGACAAGGCAGCTCTGACGGGCCCCACATATCACCTGCCCGGAAAGGCTATCATGCAAGGAAGGAGCTTCTGTGGAACCGTCAAGGGACATGGCCACAGGGATCGGAGATTTGGGAGCCAAATCAGATGGTTGACCCACATGAAATTTCCCCAGTTTTTAGTTGGGAATTTTCCCAGTTGAACCATGCCAGTTTGCTAAATTACTGATGCCATGAAGCCTCATGTGTATCTCAGGGGTTTCAACTTCCAAACCTGCAGGATCTACCCACCACTCCCAGGAAACACGTATTCACCTTTACTATCATCCAGGCTGGACAGGAACCTGAATGATTTTTCAGGAATAAACAGAAGGGCAAGTCAATGAGTAATTATTATTG